GTCGTTGCTGCAGCAGTCGCTGCTGCAGCTGGAGCCACAGCTTCTGGAGGTACAAAACCTGCTGCTCGGGAGTCAGTTTCTGCCATCTGGGGTCGTTGGCCAAGAAGGGGGCACCGGGATACCACCAACAGAACCAGCAGCACCAGCAGCCGTGCCGGGATGCATAGTCCCCTGTCCGAGCCCTGCAGCACCGCCAGCTATACCTCCCCCAGGAATACCTCCCCCAGCAAGCCATGCCTTCCCCAGCCATGCCTTCCCCAGCCATACCTCCCCCTCCTGCACCTGCTCCTGCTCCGCCAGCAACGACAGTAGCAGCAGCAGCAGGCACGGCTGCAGCCAGCAAATCCCTCCCTGCTCTCATGCCTCTCTCCCTCCCTCCTTGCCACATCACCTCTCCCCTCCCTCCTCCCACGCCTCACTCTCCCTCCCTGACTGGGTTCAGCCTCAGCCCCTCGCCCTTCCTATTCTCTTGTCTCTCTGCCTCTCCCTCCCTACTCTCTCGTCTCTCTCACTCTCCCTTCCTACTCCCTCGTCTCTCTCACTCTCCCTTCCTACTCTCTCGTCTCTCTCACTCTCCCTCCGCACTCTCTCGTCTGTCTCACTCTCCCTCCCTACTCTCTCGTCTCTCTCACTCTCCCTTCCTACTCTCTCGTCTCTCACTCTCCCTTCATACTCCCTCGTCTCTCTCACTCTCCCTTCCTACTCTCTCGTCTCTCTCACTCTCCCTCCCTACTCTCTCGTCTCTCTCACTCTCCCTTCCTACTCTCTCGTCTCTCTCACTCTCCCTTCCTACTCTCTCGTCTCTCACTCTCCCTTCCTATTCTCTTGTCTCTCTCACTCTCCCTTCCTACTCTCTTGTCTCTCTCACTCTCCCTTCATACTCTCTCGTCTCTCTCACTCTCCCTCCCTACTCTCTCGTCTCTCTCACTCTCCCTCATTATTACCACGCCTCACTCACTCTCCCACCCGTTCCCACGCCTCACTCTACCTCCCTGCCTCGGTTCAACCTCGCTCCCTCTCCCTCGATACTCTCACACCTGACTCACTCCCTACAGTGACGATACTCTCCCCCTGCTCTCGCGCCTCACTCACTCCGTAAAGGGAATCCTCTCCCCCTCCCTGCCGTACGCCTCGTTTCCTCCCTGAAAGGGCGTTTCTCTCTCTCCCCCTCCCCTCTCCTGCTGCACGCCTCACGTACAACGCAAGCAGCGGAAGCGGGAAGCGGGAAGCGGGATGTGGGGAGCGGGAATGGGGAATGTGGGAAGTGGGAAGCAGCGGAAAGTGGGGAGTGAGGGTGGGGAGCGGCGGGAAGTAAGGAGCAGCGGGAGGCGGGAAGCAGCGTGAGCGGGGGCACATCGCGGGTAGCGGGAAGCAGGTGGTGGGAACCAGGCGCGAGGGTTGCAGCGGGAAGCGGGGAGGAGCGGGAACCGGCGAGACGCTGTGGGAAGCGGCGAGCGCGAAGTGGGAAGCAGTGGGAAGCGGGAAGCAGAGGGAAGCAGGGGGCTGGAGCGGAAAGCGGTAGCGCGCCGCGGTGGGTAGCGGAAATCAGTGGGAGGGGGAAGAAAAGGAAAGCGGACAGCGGTACGTGCGAAGCGGGAAGCAGATGAAAGCGAAAAGCGGGACGCGGAAGCGGGAAGTAGAGGGAAGTGGCAAAGGGGCAAGCGGGAATCGGAAAGCAGGAGAGCGGAAATCGGGACGTCGGAATCGGGAAGCAGAAGAGCGGAAAGCGGGACGCGGGAACCACGATTCGTTTTTCCCGTCGTGAAGCTTGGGCTTGAAGCAGCTTTCTTCAAGGTGGGGCTTAGGCGGGAGCAGCCAGAAGAGGGTAGCGGAGGCTAGCGGGAAGCGGGAGGGGTGACGTGGAAAGTGGGGAGGGCTACAGGGCTACAGCGGGGCATATGCTAGCCATGGACTACTACTAGGCTCGTGTGTTTATGCTAGTAGCTGGCATTGCAAACAAAATGGTGTTTCTGCAGGTCCTAATTTACGGGAAAGTATACCGGCGCTCAGTATTAGGGGCCTAGATAACATGTACGTTCAGTGACACGATATAAACAATCAGAATTAGCGAGTTTGTAACATGTTTAATCAGTCGGGTTCCATCGTTAGTCAGAAACTGCAGGAAAAAAGTTCCACGAATGGTCAGTAGAAGTAACCCCCGGCCGTCGAGGAACGCTTTCCCGCTCGCGCCAGCCCAATTTCGTTATCATTGCGGCTGGCATGATATTTTTCCCGAGCTCCAGGCGCAGTTCGAGCGAAAATACACAAAATGGCCAAATTAAAATTCATTTGAAATTTGTCAGTCGAGAAACACGAAAAAAACGATTTTGTTTCGAAGCAAATACTTTCGTCACAGAGGGTAGGGCATCCCGCGATGATTAAAAATGGCAGCTTTGTCTCTACTGCATTTACAACCCCAAAGAAAAGTCAAGCCATAAACTTCTTTTCATTCACGAGTCGCCCGAAAACAATAACATATATCAATAGCTACGAAGATTTATTTTTGCGAAATGAATATGTTTAAAAGCGCGTCAAGGTAATCGCAGAACCACATTTATTTTGTATTAATTTCAATACAACAAGTCTATTAGAAGTCTGGCGGTTGTCTTTTTATTTTTCCAACAAGTGTATTTACCGGAAAAAAATTCCGCCGAATTACGACTGTCATGCTCGAAATAAATTAGCCCACATGCAATACAGTTTAATATTCAAGCCCCATTGGCTTAGCACCGATCCCGGATATATTTGCCATTTCGTATCAAATGTTTTCGTTTTTTTTTTTTTTTTTTTTTGCGTTTGTTAATGTTTAAAAAATGTCGCACCCGATGTGCGGCCCGCTGTAGCTCAATTTGCTTATGTAATATAAATGCTCAAGGTCTCAATTTTGGAATTTTGTGTGTGCGAAGTCTAACTATTTTTATTTGGGAACACTTTAGGTAGTTCGCTCGAACTGCGCCTGGAGCTTGGGAAAAATATCACGCCAGCCGCAATGATGACAAAATTGGGCTGACGCGAGCGGGAAAACGTTCCTCGACGGCTGGGGGTTACTTCTACTGACCATTCGTGGAACTTTTTTTCTGCAGTTTCTGACTAACGATGGAACCCGACTGATTAAACATGTTACAAACTCGCTAATTCTGATTGTTTATATCGTGTCACTGACCGTACATGTTATCGAGGCCTCTAATACTGAGCGCCGGTATACTTTCCCCCTAATTTACAAGCCCTCGGTTGTCAACATTTTCCCTTAGCCATTTTCCCTGCCTTGGTTGGAGTTTGCGCTAGTACGCGAAACATGTTTTGTCACATCCCCCAATCAAAATCCACCATTTCCTGTTCGGCTCTGCATTGCTAACTATTCACAAAGTGCCTTGGGTAACCATCCAAACGCATTCCAGAATTATTAACAAAAAAGCTAGCGCCTTGTAACTTGGGACCTGGGCTTTAACTCCGCCAAGACACTATGGCTGAACTACTTCACGCCGATTCCGGCGCGTATTTCAGGCGCGCTTAACAACCTCGCGAGACATAGGCGCCTTATCGTCATGCCCCGCGCCCCATCCCCTTTGTGGGCGCATGTGAAGCGTACTCGGGATGACGATGGCAAGGTCATCCGGTCGGAATGCTTGCACTGCGGTTTGAACATTTTGGGTAGTGCAAAGTGCATACAAAAGCACCTTTATGGCACCCCTACGTTGAAATTCAAGAATATTGTGGAGTGCAATTCCGATTTTACAAGGAACCTCTGCGCAAGGGGGGCCTTGTCTTCTACTACAACGGCGACAAACCGTGGGTCGGCGACTGCGGTTGCTGCACCAGCGGGGAAGCGCTGCCGAACTCGCGACATTCGCGGCACGGTGGACAAGGCCGGGCAGGACGCCCTCGATCTCCTTTAAGCGACCGCCATCGTGGAGAACGATTGGGCGTTCCGTATTTCACAGTAAGTGTGCCGTTTCCAGCCATCCCACCCCCTTTTCCAGCCTTGTAGACGCTCTCCCGCCGCACTCCCGCCCTCCCCCATCCCCCTCCCGTCTCTCCCCCCCTCCTTTTACCTCTTGGCACGACATGAGAGGGACCATGCCATGGCGCCTAAAAATCCAGCACTCTCCTTTTCGGAACCCCACCACTAGGCTGCCCGCTGTCCAAGCGTTCGTCGAGGGGGTGGTCGCATATGGCAAGCCCTACGAGCTGCCAAGTGCGTACAAGGTTACCCATCCCTTCCTCGACAAGCTCAAGACCAAGACCAAAGCGCTTATGCGACCCATCAAAGAGTCTTGGGCCTCGACCGGTATATCTCTGTCTATGGACAGATGGACCGACCTCAAGAGCCGCGGTCTTGTGTGCATCATCGGCGTGAACAACACGGCGCCGGTAGTGGTCGACATGGTCGATTCGAAGACCCACAAGAAGACAGGCGCCTACCTTGCATCGCTCATTCGGGGTGCGATTTGGAAGGTAGGACATACTCACGTTGTCCAAGTGGTGATGGACAACGCGAGCAACAACAAGAGGGTGGCGGCCGACCTTGGTGAAGGATTCCCCATGGTATTCTTTACCATTTGTGCAACGCATTGCCTCGACTTGATGCTCGGTGACCTTGGGGCAACAAGCGTGGCGCACAAGGTCCTGCAGCAAGCGCACCAAGTAGTCATGCTCGTGAAGGCTAGCGCCAACGCCGTGAACCTCTTTCGAGAGGACTTTAGCGAGCTGGAGCTAGTCCTTCCCGGGGCTACTCGGTTTGGCATGCAAGTCCTTATGGTCGGCCGTTTCATGGAGGTGAATAAACAGTTGAAGAGCATGGTGATTAGCGAGGAATGGGCGGAGGTGCTTGCAGCGAAAACGAAGAAGGGGAAGCGGATTCAAAGCCCTTTCCTAGGCAAGGATTTTTGGGGCTCGGTGGAGGCGGTGAAAACGTTGTTGATGCCGATTTATGAGGTGCTTCGGGCGGTGGACGCCCGTTCTCACCTTATGGGGCACATCTATGGCTTGATGCTTGAAGCGACAATGAAGACCAACAAGGCCGCGGAGGCCGCAGGTACTTGCCCATCCCCCCACCGCCCATACTCCGTTGCGTCGAAGACAATATGCAGCCCCTGCCCTTCCGGCCCGAACTAACCCGTCTCAAACCGTTGTTCTCAGTTTTTTTTTCCAGCCACATTTTTCATAAAGAGAATGGGGCTGCTCTTGGCCAAGAACAAGGCATCGTTCTTTACCAAGGTGCAAAGGATCATAGCAGCATGCTGGGACGACCAACTCCACAACCCGCTCCAAGTTGTGGGTTGGCTCATCAATCCCCTTAACCACTTTGCCGAGGAGGTGAGGACCGACTCGGAGATTGGTAAGGGGGTGAAAAGGGTGACAGAGGCGTGGGAGCCGGACATTCAGCACGGCACACTCCTCCAAACCCAAATCGCCCACTACCATAGCGGGGAGGGGATGTTGGGCTGTTTGGAAGCACAGTGGGCCACCACCTACCTTGTGGAGAGCAGGCGGCTCTCGGAGGAGGAATGGTGGACCACCTTTGGAGGGGAGGTGAGGGCGTTGAAAGAAAATCGCGGTGAAGGTGCTCTCCCAACCCACAACCGTATCCAAGGTAGAGCGAGCGTGGTCGGCGTTCGCACAGGTGCAACGTCGAGATCGCAACCGGTTGAACGCCTCCACCTTGATTGACGTCATGGTGGTGGCGATCAGCCGACGCTCGAGAAAGGCTTTCGACAGGAAGGTTGCGGCTCGGGACCGCCTCTACCAAGACCTAGGCGCTAGCGTGCTCGGAGAGGGGAGCTCTGGCCCCGCACCACCCACCTCCCAAGAGGAAGAGGGGGAGGGGGAGGAGGAGGTGGAGGGAGCGGTTGAGTGCATTATCCATTGGGAGTCCTTTGGGAGCATCGGCGAGAGGAAGAAGAGGAAGGGGAAGGCCTCCACCGTAAAGCGTTCGAAGAAGGCAAAGGGCTCGGGGGAAGGAAATGGGAAGGGGAAGGGGAAGGGGAAGGGGAAGGGAAAGGGGAAGGGGAAGGGGAAGGGGAATGAGAAGGGGAAGGGGAGGAGGGCACGGGTGGAGGAGGAGGAGGACGACGAGGAGGAAAAGGAGGAGGAAGTCCACGGACCATGGGATCCCGGCGTGGGAGAGGGGGGAGGGGTTTGGGGGGAGTCGGCGGAGGAGGACGACGACGACAAAGGACGAGGAGGAAGAGGAGGAAGAGGAGGAAGAGGCCGAGGGGGAGGACATGGAGGATTCGGGGGAGGAGGAGGAGGAGGAGGAGGAGGAGGAGGAGGAGGAGGAGGAGGAGGAGGAGGAGGAGGAGGAGGAGGACGAGGAGGAGGAGGAGGAGGAGGAGGATGAGGAGGAGGAGGAGGAGGAGGAGGAGGAGGAGGAGGAGGAGGAGGAGGAGGAGGAGGAGGAGGAGGAGGACGAGGAGGAGGACGAGGAGGAGGAGGAGGAGGAGGAGGAGGAGGAGGAGGAGGAGGAGGAGGAGGAGGAGGAGGAGGACGAGGAGGACGAGGAGGACGAGGAGGAGGAGGAGGAGAAGGAGGAGGAGGAGGAGGAGGAGGAGGAGGAGGAGGACGAGGAGGACGAGGAGGAGGACGAGGAGGAGGACGAGGAGGAGGACGAGGAGGAGGAGGAGGAGGAGGAGGAGGAGGAGGAGGAGGAGGAGGAGGAGGAGGAGGAGGAGGAGGAGGACGAGGAGGAGGACGAGGAGGAGGACGAGGAGGAGGCGGAGGAGGAGGAGGAGGGGGAGGAGGAGGAGGAGGAGGAGGAGGAGGAGGAGGAGGAGGAGGAGGAGGAGGAGGAGGAGGGGGAGGAGAAGGGGTAGATGGATGAGGAGGAGGATGGATAGGAGGTAGTGTAGGAGGGAAATATGTAGTAGGAGGAATATGCGGCAGATTCGAGCTTTGGGGGGCCCATTTAGTTCAGTTAGGACCCCTACAATGCATGCCATAGCCACCAATAGTCGTTTCTTTTGTCCCCTTCAGTCCCTGGTTTTTTTTTTTTTTTTTTTTTTACTGTATTAAAAAACGGCGTTTTTATTTTAAGAAAAAACCGTTTTAAACAGCCGAAAAAATGGCCTAACGTTTTTTTCAACCTTGTTTGCTGCTATACCAGCAGAAAAACTGCCAAAGGTTGCGGGAGAGGTTTGGAGGGCAAGGCACATCAAAACCAGTGTCAACACCTCTCAGCAGCCTTGCAAACAAAGATGTGGATGTGGAAGCAGAGATTGAGACATGGGGAAGCAAGGAACAGGCACTCAAGGCCTACCAATCCATGGTGGGTTCCATAATGCATCTCCTCTCATACACATGCGTGGATATGGCATATGCAGCAAGTTTCCTTGGACAAAATATGCTGCAGCCCGAAGGACGCAAATGGAAGGAGATGGAACGGACCATTCCCTACCTCTTGCAATAGGAGGATGAAGGACTTCTGTTTGAGGGAGGAGAGGAAACCCTAGAACTTGTCGGGTATGCCGATGCCTCACATGCATCGGACAAAGAGACGATGAGGGGAGCCTATGGTTAGGTCTATCTTCTTGGAGGAACGGCCATCATATGGCAAGCAAAGAAGTTGACGGACATCGCCCAATCAAGCGCCGAAGATGAATACATGGCGCTGTTCTACGCATGTCAAGAGTGTTAGAATATACCATGCTATGCTAGTTGTGTATATTGTGTTTACATCCCTAGTTGGGTGTACACCGGTGTTGGGGTGTCAATCCAACCCAATTGTGGTTGGAGCCCCCAAACACAAGGACCACAATTGTGGGGGCACCACAAGTGGGTTGGCTAAACCACTGGTGGTACACCACACTTGGACCACCTCCAACTGGTGGTCAACCACATTTGGAAGGATCCTCCCTCCCTTGTGATTGGTCCTAACCCCCCTTTCCCTTCCAACCTTCCCTTCCTAGCTCACATCTCTCTTCCTATGTAATGCCTTTGCTTCATCAATAAACTGAACCTTTCTGTTTCTAACATGGTATAGAGCAATAATGGCTCACGCCAACTTTTAGATCCCGATCCTTCCCCACGCTTCCGCCCCGTCCCCTTCCGACGTGCACCTCATTGCCGTCCCCTCCATCGCCGCTGCTAGACTCCTAGCCGCCGCCTCTCAACTAGTTTTCTGTTGGGTGGATTTTCAAAAACCCCCAATGCGCCAAACGCCATAGCTCGCTCGATAGTTGACAGAATTGAGTGATTCGACTTGCAAAAGAACGCTCTTGGTGTCAGCTACAACGTCGTAAAATTTCAGACTGTTTCATCGCTTGGATTGTCAGATATCGCTTTCCGAAGTTTGCACACTTTCCTGGATGTGATCACGAAGTGCTACTGAAATTTCTACCAAGTATATTTTCATCAGCTAACTGCCATCTTTCCCCATCTTTTGCCTCCTCACCTGCACCTGCTCATCGCCGCCTTACCACTGCTGCAGCCGTAGCAGCAGCAGCAGCAGAAGCAGCAGCAGCACCAGAAGGAGCAGCAGACTCAGCAGCAGCAGCAGCAGCAGTAGCAGCAGCAGCAGCAGCAGCAGCAGCAGCAGCAGCTGAAGGAGCAGCAGCAGCAGCAGCAGCAACATCGGTAGCAGCAGCAGTGGCAGCAGCAGCAGCGGCAGCAGCAGCAACAGCAACAGCAGCGGCAGCAGCAGCAACAGCAACAGCAGCAGCAGCAGCAGCAGCAGAAGGAGCAGCAGCAGCAGCAGCAGCAGCAGCAGCAGTATCTAGAGCCATCCCCATCCTCCCCTCCTCTTTGAGCCGCCGCGGGTCCACCCGCCGCCGCTCCCTCCCGGCCACCGCGGGTCCACCCGCCGTCGCCTTCCTCCCACTCCGTGTCACCAATGGCATCCTTTCCCCCTCCCGTGGACGTCTCGACCCTCGATCATCTCGTGCGCGCTGCCGACAACTCAGCAACCAAGTGGTATTCCTTCGTCGGCAGCCTCCACCGCGTCCTCGGCAGTGCTTATGTCCTGCCGTTCCGCCTCCTGGACATCATGCTTGGTCTCCCAGAGGGTGACCTTGGGGACCCGCCGCCTCACCCTGGCGATCCCCCCCCCTCTCATTCCCCATCCCGGCGAGGAACCTCCGCCCCCCATGGTACCCGTTGGCACCAGCACTCGCGCTGCCACCGCTGAAGTTGAGCAGCTCTTCCTTACTCAGCGTCGTGAGTTCCTCGTGCTCCATACTGATTACCTGATCGCGTTGGAGGAACACGAGCGGTCGGCAACCCTCCGCACCCAGCATGCCGCTACCGCCGCCGCTTATGCCGCTGACTCTGCGCGATTTGCTGAGCGTCGTCGCGCCTGGCTCGAGGCGGACAGCCGTGCTACTGGTGCCCTTCTCCTTGCCATCCCGTCTGCGCTCATGCGCAACTTCCAGGCACGTCGCATCGGCTCCCGCCAGATCTGGCTCGAGCTTGAGGCAATATTCGAACGCACCGACTTCGATGCTGTCGGACCGCTCTTCAAGGAATACTTCAGCATCACGATCGAACATAGTGCTGGCGCCGTCGACTACACCAGCCGTCTCCTGGACCTTGCCTCCCGCCTTGAGGCTCGCCAGACTACTCTCCCCCCCAACCTTCAGATCTACCGTCTCCTCGAAGGCCTCTCCCCTCAATATGAAGTGCGCGTCATCGCCTTCACTGAGGCTCAGCCCCGCGCCTCCCTTGACACTGTGGTCCAATGGATCATTGACGCTGAGGCCCGCCTTCTCTCAACCCCCCCCTCCGGCCTGAACTCCACCGAGTCCCAAAACCCCCAGCTTGCAGTCACACAGCCGCGTCGTGGCGGGCGCCCACGTGGCGGCCGCACCAACCCTCAGGGAGGGGGTGGAGGTGGCGGTTGTGGGGGCAGCGGAGCCGGCGGCGGTGGTGGCGGGGTCGAGGGTGGCAGCAGTGGTGGTGGTGGAGGCAGTGGTGGCTCATCTGGTAGCCGTGGTGGCCGCCCTGGCACTCTCCCCCCATGTTCCTATCTTCGCCGTTTTGGTCCCAGGGCGGGTGAGCGCTGCACCCAAACCAACCATCCCCCCGCGACCTGCTTCAAGGCGTATGATGACGCCTGGTTCGAGCGCGGCAACACTGGCACACCCCCACGCTGGTCTGCCATGGATCCCCGCCCCTCTCTCCAGGATGTCAAAACTCTTCCGTCTTTCCTCCCCTCTCATCTTCAGCTCTCCTCCTCCTCCTCCTCTGTCGCTGACCCCATAACTCCCCAGGAGTTGCAGCAGTTTCGCCGCTTCCAGCAGCTGCAGCTGCTGCAGCAGCAGCAGCAGTGGGGCTCTGGTGGTCAGGCTGCAGTCGCAGCTGCAAGAGCCGCAGCCGCAGCATCTGCATGGCAGCAGCAGCAGCTTGGCTTTGGCACCGCCGCCATGGCTGCCACAGCCACACCAGGTCCTCCTGGCTTTCCCCTCTGGGGCTCTCCTTCCCCTAGTGCTCCCGCCTCCCACTCCAGCTTTCTAGGCGAGCTCATGCGTTCTTCCCCTACTTCCACTTCCATGTATCCCTCTGTTTTTAATGCCAGTGATTTCCAGTACCCCGTGTCTTCAGCTCCCTCCTCGCTCACGATTGACTTTGTTCTCGATAGTGGTGCCACTGAAACTGCCCTCAAAGACGCCGGCACCCTCACCTCCCTCCCTTTCCCCACCAACGTTCATGGTGCTGATTCCAGCTTCTCCATCCCTTGCACTCATCTCTCCACCCTCCCCTGCCCCCCCTTCCCCTCTGGAGTGGTCACTGGTCTCCACATTCCCTCCCTTCGTCATAACCTGCTCTCCATTCGTGAACTCCAACAGGCTGGCATCACTACCCTCTTCCCCGCCTCTGCCACCTACTGTGACCTCCTCCACGGCCCCACTTGCCGCCTCCTTCATCGCCTCCCACTTTGCCCTCGCTCTCGTCAGTACATCCTCCGCACACCCCGCCCCTCCTCATGCCACGTGACCACTCGTGCAGGCACCTCCACTCTCCCCCCTCCCCTCCCTCTAGAGCCACCTTCCTCCAACTCCACCTCCTCCCCATGCTGTTGTCGCGCACTGTCCCACCCCGCTGTTCTCATCCACCACCGCCTTGGTCAAATGAACTTTCCCACACTTTGTAAAGCCGTCTCCTCCCGCTTGCTTGACGGTCTTCCCCCCACTCTTCCTCCCCTCCCGTCCTCTTCCGCTCCCCCATGCGCCACATGCATTCATGGAAAGCTCAAACAACAGCCTCACCTCAGTCATCCTTCCTTTGCTGCTGCCCCCCTTGACCTCGTCCACATGGACCTCTGGGGCCCTAACCCTTTCCCTTCCCGCCAAGGGCACCGGTACATGCTTGTCCTAGTCGACGACCACAGCAGGTACTCCTCGGTGTTCCTCCTCCACACGAAGGCCGAGGCCTTTGCTGTCATCGTTACCTGGGCCGAGCAGTGCCGAGTCCACTTTGGTCGCCCCATCCGCCGCCTCCATTCCGACGGCGGTGGTGAGTTTCTCAACCGCACCCTCTCCTCCTACTGCTCAACCCATGGCATCTAGCAGACTCATACCCTTCCCCACTCCCCTCAGCAGAACGGTGTTGCTGAGAGTCGCATTCGTGAGATCACCAAGACGGCCCGCTGCCTCCTCACTCATGCCTCCACGCCCCCTTCTCTTTGGGGCTATGCCCTTGTCCATGCTGCTCTCCTTACTAATCTTTACCCACATCCTCAACGCTAGTCTGTCACTCCCACTGAGCTCTGGGCTAGCACCAAGCCAGATGCTGCCATTCTCCGTATCTGGGGTTGCAAGGCATATGTCCTCATCCCCCCACCTGACCGCTCTCGGCAGGCAGGAAAGCTCGCCTCCAAGGCCATTGAGTGTGTCTACCTTGGCCACGCTCGCTCTGCCCCTGGTTACCTCTTCCTTCACCCGTCCTCAGGCCGCCTCCTACAGAGCCGTGACGTGGTGTTCGATGAGAGCATCCCGTTCTATCATTCTGTTCCGCCTTCCGGCCCCCTTCCTCCTCTCTCCCGCCCCCTCACCTGGGCTGATGCTGTCATTCCCCCACTCCTTCCCCAGGCTCCCCTCCTTCCTCCAAATCCTGCTCCTCCCCCTCCTCCTTCCTCAGGTGACATTTACGACCCAGCTGTCCCTGACTCCCCTGCTCACTCTGCCTCATCGCACCAGCACCAGCAGCACCACCAGCAGCAGCAGCAGCAGCAGCAGCAGCAGAAGGAGCAGCAGCAGCAGCAGCAACAGCAGCAGCAGCAGGTGCAGCAGCAGCAGCGGATGGAGCAGCAGCAGCAGCAGCAGCAGCAGCAGCAGCAGCAGCAGCAGGAGGTGCAGCAGCGGATGGAGCAGCAGCAGCAGCAGCAACCGCAGGCAGTGCAGCAACAGCAGCCGCAACAGGAGGTGCAGCAGCAGCACCAGCAGCAGCCACAGCAGCAGCAGCAGCAGCAGCAGCAGCCACTGCAGCAACCTCATCGGCATCGCCGCACCACCTCTCCGTTCATCCTCCCACGCATCCACACTCGCTCTCACGGCCCACTCATAGGCCATCCATGGGGTTGGCCAACACTACCCCCACCCTCCCTTCCCTTCATTGAGGACTCCCATGAGGAGCTCATTGGCGTTCAGCAACAAACACCTTCCCTCACGCCTCTCTATCCTGGCTTCCTTGGCCTCCTCATCCTTGGCATCGCTACCGCTCCCACCAGATTCACTCCGTCCAACTTCCTTGAGGCCATCACCTGCCCCGATGCTGCCAAGTGGATCCAGGCTATCTTTGCTGAATGCGAGGCCTTCATCCGCAATGCCTCATTCGTTAACATTGTCCCCTCTCCTGACGACGTCATTGTTGAAGGCCTGTGGGTGTTCCGAGTGAAGCAGCTGCCGGGTGAGGAGCCGGTCTACAAGGCCCGGTATTGTGCCAAGGGCTTCACCCAAACCCATGGCATCGACTACTGGGAGACATTCTCTCCCACTGCCAAGCTCCCAACTCTCCGTGCCATCCTCGACTATGCTGTTCGCGTTGGCATGGAGATTGCCTCCATGGATGTCTCCAACGCCTTCCTGCAAGGCGAGCTCCAGGAGCGGGTCCTCTTGCGGCGGCCTCCAGGCTTTCATGCAGCCTTCCCTGCCAACACAGTCTGGGAGCTGCGCCGCCCGGTTTATGGCCTCAAGCAGGCTCCTCGCGAGTGGCACAACAAGCTGGCCGCCACTCTGCAGTCCTTGGGGTTCCATGCCTCTCAGTATGATGCCAGCCTTTTCCTTCGCTCCTCTCCCACCCGCTTCTTCATCCTGGTGTATGTCGACGACATGATCCTGTTCGCTGACGATGCTGCCGCCATGCAGCAAGTGAAGGACGCCCTGCATGCGCGCCTCAAGTGCAAGGACCTGGGTGAGCTCAAGCACTATCTGGGCATGACCATCACCCGGGACCGCACATCGCGCACCATTACCCTCTCTCAGTCCTTCTACATCGACCAAGTCTTGCAGCGGTTCGACATGGCGCAGGCCAAGCCGGTTACCACTCCCCTGCAGACCGACCACCAGCTTGCCCCTCCTCCTGCTCCCTCCTCCTCTGACCATCCTTACGCTGAGCTCGTCGGCTCGCTGATGTACGCTATGATGTGCACCCGCCCCGACCTTGCCTACCCCATCAGTGTTCTTGCTCGATTCGTCGGTACCGGTCGCCACACTGATGAGCACTGGGCTGCAGCGAAGCGGGTCCTCCGCTACCTCCGTGGTACCAAGGACTATGTCCTCACCCTCGGAGGCTCTTCTCCTCCCCTCCTCTCTGGCTTCAGTGACTCCTCCTGGGCTGACTCCCAGCCGGATCGCCGTTCCTCTCAAGGCTACGGCTTCACCCTTGGCAGCGGCCTCATCAGCTGGCGCTCCACTCGCTCCTCCTCCATCGCCCTCTCATCCTGCGAGGCTGAGCTCTATGCTTGCACCATGGCCGCTCAGGAGGCTCGCTGGCTCACCTTCCTCCTTGCTGAGATCGGTGCTCCTCAGCGCTGTCCCACCCTCTGGTGCGACAACGCCAGCACCATCCATCTCACAAAGGACCCTGTCTTCCATGGCCGCTCCAAGCACATTGAACTCCGCTACTTCTTCGTTCGAGAGTTGGTCCAGCAAGGTCACTTGGTGGTCCGCAAGATCGCTGCAGAGGCCAACTTGGCCGACATCTTCACCAAGGCCCTCCCGAAGACCGCGCACTCTGCCCTCCTCCGCCTTCTCGGCCTTGGGCCCCGCCCCCCTTCCTGATTCTGGGGTTGTACCCTACATATACACTAGCTTTGCATGCTATGGGGTTGTGTTAGAATATACCATGCTATGCTAGTTGTGTATATTGTGTTTACATCCCTACTTGGGTGTACACCTGTGTTGGGGTGTCAATTCAACCCAATTGTGGTTGGAGCCCCCAAACACAAGGACCACAATTGTGGGGGCACCACAAGTGGGTTGGCTAAACCACTGGTGGTACACCACACTTGGACCACCTCCAACTGGTGGTCAACCACATTTGGAAGGATCCTCCCTCCTTTGTGATTGGTCCTAACCCCCCCTTCCCTTCCAACCTTCCCTTCCTAGCTCATCTCTCTCTTCCTATGTAATGCCTTTGCTTCATCAATAAACTGAACCTTTCTGTTTCTAACAAAGAGGGCGTATGGCTGAGACGGCTACTTCAAGAGATTGGGATCACCATCCAAGGTCCTACGACGATCAAAACGGGCAGTCAATCAACCATCGACCTTGCAGGGAACGACAACTGGCACGGACGGACGAAACACATGGACGTCAAGTATCACTGGGTGTGAGAGATGCTGCAGAAAAGGACATTTGATTTTGTGCACGTGCGGACAAAGGAGCAGCCCACGGATTTCCTCACCAAGGTGCTGCCAAAAGCTAATCATGAGCACTGCAAGGACTTGCAGGGCAGTACCGGAGCAGCAATGAAGGCGACCATCCCAAGTGAAGCACGCGGACAAGAGATGATAACAAAATTAGGGCACAGGGTGACCACGGGAGCATCCAAGAGGGGCAGCTAGCGAACCACAGGGGAGGTTGTTAGGGTGGTTCGCCACTGCCCTGCCGTCCATCTATGCGGCGCTGCTATGGACGGTGTTCAAACCGTCCATCTATTTCCAAGGAAAACGGCGTTGAAATTGGGCGACGGATGAAAAGGGAGAGAATGATGGCAATAAGAAAAATGGGGAACCCTAAATGCAGTGGCGGAAGTGGCGGAACAACGATGGAACAAGGAAAATCAGCGAGGAAGAAATGGAAGATATCGGTAGAAGAAAACCTTAAAAAATGGGGAGATTGGGATTGTTCTGACTTGCGTGAGGGAACAGCAGCTTGGAAATGCTCTTTCTGTTGCCGTGGAGGAAACTGCTGCAGGAAAACCTGCAACACAGACCCGGAGCGCGCATAGTTGAATTCTGGAGAACCAAAATCGGTGTCGGTTTCGGACCTAGTGTCGGTTACCGAAATCCGTTTCCGCGGTTGCCAGAATTCCGCGTTTGGCAGAATTCCGAGGTTGCACAGTGCTACATCCGCGTTATGCGAACCGCACAATCTTTCTGACTGCTTATAAAAGCTTGTTTGTTTCTTGTTCAAATACAACTCGTCTTCAGTGCAAATTCTCCCCTGGAAATTGCTGAAACTTTCAAAGTCACACAGTTTCTCCAACGTCAGCCGGAGGCGCTTGCAAACCTATAACATATACCCGTTGCACGGTGCAATCCACATGGCTGCTCGAGGACCTCAACGTGAGGCGTGGGAGCACGTGGCTGTGCTAGCGGTAGCGTCTGACACAACAAAAGGTTTGCAGGCATGGCCAGTGGGCGGCAAGGTGGACAGTCAGGGGGTCAAGTAAGCATGGTGAAGAGGAACACATGCAAGTGTGCTAGGTGCCAACGGTAGCCAACTAGGGGAGCTGGTTGTGCCAATGATTGCCAATGAGTGCCTACTAATTCTGCAGGGGAACAGTCAGTGCAGGTGGGGGTATGTAAGCCTATAGATAGGAGACGCACGGCAAAGAACATGGGTGATGTAGAGGATCTGTGGCACAGTAACAGGGGAGTGTCAGAAGAGGGGTGCGGCGGCAAAGGAGGCCTTGAGAGCGGCGCCAGAAGGATGGGTGAGCGGCAGTAGAAGAAGGAAAGGGGGGGGTTTACTAGTAATAGGCGGCAGCAGGAAAGCTTGCTGTACGTGAGTGGCGAGGTGAGGCAGAGATGAGAAGAGTGAAGGAAGGTTCAAGGCAGGGGTGCGAATTGAATAATGAGGGCCAAAGAGCTGCACGAAAGATGACGTGGCAGTAGACAACGCGATTGAGTTGATTTAACAGACACGAGCTGGCATGAGGAAGGAGCAGGGCGCTCCAGGAAATAGGAGGAACGGGTGGAAAAAACAGGTCAGTTGGGGGCAACGGATAAGAGAGGATCCCCACCAGGACAGAAGTTGCACGCTTACAATCCGGCCAGGCGCCTATTGTGCCTCTAGATCCTTAGGCCGAGCGACTGTGTAGCCACTTGAGTCGACGTTCACCGAGCAGGACGAGAGAAGCCCAGCCGGAGGAGCAACGCCCCAGTTGGCAGGTGGGCGAGGAGATAGCATGTGGTGGGCAATCTGCGAGAACGGACGATGAAGCAGGGAGGAGTGAAGGGCACGAGGAGCATGTCGGAGACTTGCTGGGGTTGCCCTTGAGATCCTTGGGGAAGGGCCACAGGTGCAGAGCCTGGGGGGTTGTGGGCGCACTTACCCGCTACTTCACAAGCCCTTTTAACTCAGTGGTTAGTGACTGAGTTCTGACATGGTATCAGAACCAAAGGTCTTGGGTTCAATTCCAAGTGTGTGCATTGGTAGAGGTGGCATTGCACCGGCAGAGGTGCAAGGTCTTCCGTGCCTATCCCAGCGAGGGGGGATGTTGGAGATCCGCTGGGGTTGCCCTTGAGATCCTCGGGGACGGGCCACAGGTGCAGAGCCTGGGGGGTTATGGGCACGACGAGCTGATTTACATCTCCAGAATTGAGAAAGCTTGCTTTTTTGTCCTTTGCAATAGGCATCGTTCTCATTTCAAGTGGGGTCGTCGAGACATGTGCAGTGGGGGCTTGCGGTGGCGGAGAAGTGCCTCGGCGTGTTGTGCAGAGGAGGGTGCCACCGCCGGGTCTTGCAGGCGACGAGATGCGCCAACCAGATGATCGGTCGAGGGCGTGACGTACATCTCTTTTGCGGTTTCGCTGCGCCAACGGCCCAGGCGTTTGAAGATACTGTCAGGTACCCCATAGTTGGCAGCAACCGTGGCCGCGCCTTTCCGAAAGGAGTGGGTTCCTAGGTGCTCTTCTCCCAAACCGAATTTCGCGAAGGCTTCCTTGCACCACTTGTGGATTGTGGTGTATGAGGGCGGTCTAGCTGTGACATGGCTCGGTAGGTGGGGTTCGAAGACCCGGATGAGCAGTCCCGAGGAATGGGGGCTGTATCATGCGAGTTGGATGAGCCTCTGGGTTCCTCGGACCGGACAAAAGGGTCCGGGGCTTGCCGCGATAGGGATCCATGTGCCTTGGCCGGCTTGGTCGGTTTTTGAGTGGGGGATGAGTAGCCACATAGCTTCATCTTTAAATTGATTGTACTACAATTTGATGGCCACCAGGTCCGAGTAGCGCAAAAAACCGGCGTACATGAGAATCGGGATCAATCCTTTTTGGAACACGGCTGGATTGTTTGACTGTAGGAAGGAGGCCGCCATATCGTGGACCTGATGGAGTGAGACTGGCTCTTTAATCCTGTTAGGACGCGGGCAGTGTCGCTTCGCGGATTCGCGCATTTGGGAGGTGAAGGGGCCGGTGGTTGGGCATGTTGAGCCTGTCATCCTATGGGCAAAGCTCACGGCGGAACATGTGAGCTGAACTACCGACAAGGAGGCCTTGCGTTGGATGACATACACCAGGTAGAGCGCGAGGGTCATGTCCGATGCCGGCAAGAACGTCAGGTTGACCTTCGTGCAGAAGGCACGGAACTTCACCCAGTAAGGCTCGTATGTTCGGATGGTCGAGTCGGCACGAGAGCGGGCGAGCATGGAAAGCAGGTCGTGTTGGAGCTTTGGAAGCAGATCTGGGGACATGCAGAGGAGTCTGGTTAGTCAAATATCACGCGGAGTGCGACGATAGTGCTGTTGGGTAATCCTGTGCCTGAGAATGCTTGACTGTGGGTGCCGACTGTAAGACACTGGCTGCCGTGTGTAAGAGGGATATGTGCTTGGATGTGTGGGTCCCATGATGGAGGGGAGGGCTGGAGGAGCGGC